AATGAGTCAGTTGCCAAGCATCTGAATTTGGATCACATGACCATGGAGATGCTGCAATGGTTGTAAGTATGAAAAATGGTCATAGGTCACTTTTTTCAGTGCCATTGTAATTTTGAACTGTCACTTATTGAACTGTTGTAAATTGAGGACTACCTGTACCACTTGCATCTGTGTGCATTCTTTGGCATATATGAGGTCAGCAAACCTTTATCAGCAGAGGTGGGTTTCAGCAGGTTCTGAGCAGTTCTGGAGAACCGTTAGTGGAAAACTTGAGTAGTTCGGAGAACCGGTAAAAACCACATCTGACTGGCCCCGCCCCCACCTATTCTCTGCCTCCTGAGTCCCAGCTGATCGTGTTCTGCCCCAGTTACTGACCCCAAAGAATACAGCACACACAAAGTTAAATTTACTGAAGTTAAGTAAAACTGGCTGTTTTTTAATACAGCCTAATAGAAATCAAAGATAAAATAATCACAATCTTACTAAGGTTGGCCGAAAGCCCAGAAGCAATTTTGCAGAGAACCCAAACGCGAAGGAGAATGAACTAAAGTTGTTCCCTACAAATTGCTTCAGTCGGCATTCCTCCTTAAATAGGCTAAGGGAGTGGCCAATTAGCCCCAAGCCTTACTCTCGAGGAGACCTCCTGAGGAGCCACTCCTGCCTTTTGGCCGCTCTGCGCACTCGTGCATCAAGAAGAGGCTCCTCCTCTTCGTCCTCTTCACTTAAAGGAGCTTCTGGAGGTTCTGAAGGCCCTGGCAGAATCCCTGCCTCTGGCACCACATCTTCTCCAGCCTCCTCATTGTCCGACTTGAGTGCCAACTGCACAGGCTGCTGGCACAACACCACACTAGCCTCCTCGCTGTCAGAATCATACAATCCGCACAGGCCGCTGATGGGCCACAACAGATCGGGAGGAAATGGGGATTTTGCAGTAACCTTCCCCTAGAGTGGGGTGGGAACAGAGATTTTACAATATCCTTCCCCTGCCACGCCCACCCAGCCACACCATGCCCACCAAGTCATACCCACAGAACCGGTAGTAAAAATTTTTGAATCTCACCAGTTTATGAGTACTCGCACTTGCACAGTGAAGCTGGAGTACCTGTCCAGAGTGGGCAGCTGTGGTAGGAGAGCCATACTATTAATACAAATCTCTACCTGCAACAGGTGTGATTGTAAACATCATTCACAGAACCCAGGTTATATGCTAATGCAAGCGCACTTGTTTTGCAGCAAAGTTTCACTCTGTAAAGAATTTCAAAATAATGTTTAAAGAGCCCCCCCTTTTGTGCATTGGAGCAAACATGGAAATGTACATCATGCCCCTGTAATGATTTACATAGGATGAGCATCTGTCTCTTGTTTCTGCAAGAGAAATACAAAAATGCCCATTTATGTAGATGCTATAGTTAACCACAAATTAGCATTGTTTTAACAGGATATGAAAGTGTTGATCAGGATTGCGATTATCAAGATTCCTATATCGAAAAGGCTGAAATAAAAAACATACCTCCTGAGAGTGGGGAAGAATGATCGGAAACCAGAAAGGTTCTTAAAATAAAACTTGCTCAAAATACTTATCGTTACAGGATGTCGGGACAGATATTCTAGTAACGTCTTTACTTTATCTACTTTCATACTGACAGCTGTTTCCTGTTTATGTAACCAAGTACAATATAAAAGCACATTAAAGAAATCATTCAGGGTCTTTTTCAGCCTTAATAGGACAGGAGTGTCAAACTTGCATCGTCACGGCGTCATAATGTGACATATTGTGACTTTTCCCTTCGCTATCATTATTATTATATACTTTATTCATTAAACATGAAACTCAGTCAACTGAACATTTAAAAATGTGTCACAAATACGATTGACTGGTGCTAATGGTTGATACGGGTTGCTGCCAGAATCCTAGGTATCGTCTTAAAATATATGATGTTCCGAGTAGTGCAGTTTTTTGCAGTTCCGCTGGTGTTATTGCAGGAAGATGTGTTTCTTGATGTGTTTTGTAAAATTCTTGGACATGGTACCATGTGCCCTGATGACAATGGGTATCACTGTTACATGTTTCATCCATAGTCGTATAGTTTCGATGGCCAGGTCGCAATATTTCGTGATTTTTTTCCAGTTCTTTTTCTTCAACTCTGGCGTCTCCTGGTACAGCGATATCAATAAATTGCATGTTTCAGTTTTCAACAACTGTGATATCTGGCGTGTTGTGTTCCAAATGACAATCCATCTGTACTTGAAAGTCCCACAAGATCTTCACTGTCTCATTTTCGATAACTTTTTCCACTTTGTGCTCCCATGACTTTTCGGATACAGATAAGTCGTATTTTTTAAATAATGACCAGTGGATTAATTTAGCAACTCAGTTGTGTCTATCTTTGTAATCAGTTTGTGCGATTTTGCTGCATTCACATATTAAATGTGAAACAGTTTCAACTTTGTCATTGCATAGGCGGCAGTTTGGATTGTCGGCGGATTCTTGTATCTTCATTTATTATTATTATTATTATTATTATTATTATTATTATTATTATTATTATTCCCTCTTCACCCACATCTTTAATAAATCACTAAAGATGTGCTATGTTCCTTCTTGCTTCAGATGCTCTACTATCATCCCAGTGCTGAAGAAACCCTCCATCAAGGAACCTGATGACTTCAGACCGGTTGCTCTAACATCTGTAGTTATGCACTTTTGAAAGACTAGTGCTCAGCCACCTGAGAACAATCACGGATCCGCTGTTAGACGCCTTGCAATTTGCCTACTGAGCAAGTAGATCGACAGATGATGCTGTAAATATGACTCTGCATTACATCCTACAACATCTTGAATCTCCAAAGACCTAGGCAAGGGACCTCTTTGTAGACTTCAGCTCAGCATTCAATACCATCATTCCAGATATTCTTCTAACTAAACTAAATCAGCTACAGGTACCTGAACACACTTGTAAATAGATTATAAGCTTCCTAACAGACAGGAAGCGGCAGGTAAAGCTAGGCAAAATCACATCAGATACCTGCATAATTAGCACAGCAGCCCTCAAGGCTGTGTGCTCTCTCCACTACTCTTTTCTCTATACATCAATGACTGCATCTCAAAAGATCCCTCTGTTAAAATACTGACGTTTTCAGATGATACTGTTATGGAATGATGGGACCAAACAACATTCCTGGTCAGCCAGAGACAGTTTATTGCACAGTTTCAGAATCAGATTTGTATCTGCAATTCTGAACAAAGAAGAGCTCTGATACAACTGCTTTTATATATATCCAAGACAAAGGATTTTGCATGCACAGCAGTTTTTCATATATGGTTAACATACATTTGTTACATTATAATTGACACTTTCTAATTACTAAATTCCTTCATTATTTTCTAGTTCATAAGATTATCTTAGCTAAACAACCTTCCTCAGTTCTGTGTTTGCTGATGCGTACATTTATGGCTGCTTTGGATAATAAGTAACCTTTTTGTTTCATATGGATGTCCTTGCATCCTTGACAGCTAGGCCCCTCAGAAGATATATATTACCAAGAATGGAATTTAGCTGACTTAGTGTAATCTCTAAACAAGCACATTTCTTTCTTATAATAATGTGAATAAAGAGGGTCCTTCAGTGTTCATAGAGCTGACCCTGTACTATTCCTACATCATTCACATTAATACAACATTCAAGACAACTATGAATCTGCATACAGACCGGAGGTTGAAAAACTAGCCTTGTGGTGCAACCAGAACAATCTTGAACTAAATACAAAACTGTAGAAATGGTGGTGGATTTTAGAAGAAACCCTTCCATACTTCCACCTTTCACAATACTAGACAACACAGTATCAACAGTAGAGTCCTTCAAGTTTCTAGGTTCTATCATATCTCAAGACTTAAAATGGACACCTAACATCAAAAAGTCATTAAAAAAGCTCAACAAAGAATGTTCTTTCTGCGCCAACTCAGAAAGCTCAAACTGCCCAAAAAGCTGCTGATCCAGTTCTACAGAGGAATAATTGAGTCTGTCATCTGCACTTCTATAACTGTCTGGTTTGGTTCTGCAGCCCAACAAGGCAGACACAGACTTCAGAGGATAATTAGAACTGCAGAAAAAACAATTGCTACCAATCTGCCTTGCGCTGCACACCAAAACAACTAGACACAAGAAGTTTTTTCCTGAAAAAATTCTAATTCCCACAACACTGTCAAACTATTTACTAAGACTGTATTACTATTCTTCTCTTTTTTACTAGTATCTCTCTTCCCACTTATTACTGTAACTATCTTGCTTGTATCTTTCAATTTATATTTTTTTAATTTGTTTCCTAGTACGATTTGATAGATTAGTAATCTTGACTATCACTGTGTTGTTATCTTTTTATTCTTGATGAATGTATTTTATTCTCCTTATGTACACTGAGAGCATATGCACCAAAGACAAATTCCTTGTGTGTCCAATCACACTTGGCCAATAAAAATTCTATTCTATTCTGTTATTCTATGCTATTCTATTCCTATTTCATTCTATTCTATTCTATTCTATTCTATTCTATTCTATTCTATTCCTATTTCATTCTATTCTATTCTATTCCTATTTCATTCTCTTCAATTATTCTATTCTTTTCTATTCCTATTTCATTCTATTCTATTCCATTCTATTCAGTTATTCTATTCTATTCTATTCTATTCTATTCTATTCTATTCTATTCTATTCTATTCTATTCTATTCTATTCTATTCTATTCTTATTCCATTAACCTAATTCCATTATTATGTCCCTTCAGCATGATGCATGTACACATACACGATTTGCGATTTAATCCGACGTACTTGGGCTGCCAGAACCACAAAAACCCAAAGCAGCGCTCCCCCCCTCCCCCAAAACCCCGTGGGCCTCAGAGGCGGCGTCGTCCTCTCGTTCGATCGAGGCGAAACCCCTAGAATCCCTGACAGAATCTCGCGGCACTTGAAACACTACATTTCCCAAAGTGCTTTGCTGTCACCCAGAGACGCTCTGAGAATTCCAGCGCTCCTTCGACGGCCGGCCTGGCGAGCGGGCGCGAGAGCCTCCGCGGCCTTTGGGATGGCTGAGCGCGCCCATTCTGAGAAATGAGTGACGGTTTCTGAGGCGGCGGGGGCGGCCCCGGCCTGGCCTGTGAGGGAAAGGAGGCGAGCGACCCAGGCTCGGCGATGAGCTGTCGCTACGGAGGCGGAGGGACGGTTTCCTCGCTCCTGGAGCTGTAAGTGGCAGATCCTCCCGCAGCCTCCCGTCATTCACCGAGGAGATTTCTTTCCCGAGCCCCGAACTCCCCTTCTTTCATGCAGCCTCCTTCCGTCTCTCCCTGGTTGCTCTGCGGTTTATTTCTTCCTCGCTCGGCTAAATAACGGCACCAACGCCCGGCCCCTCAGGAACCGTTAATATTTTAGGAGAGCGCTGGCCGTTTCTCCCCCGATGTGCCTTTTCCATGAGTATAAACGGAGGAGGTGGGAAGAAAGTCGTGTCCCCGAGGAAGCTAACTGACTGACCTGACGTGAAGCAATGATTAAAAACAAAAACAAAAACAAAATAAAAAGCGTTCGTGTTCAGAATAAAAGAAAGGCCAAGGCCTCAGGATCCTGGCTCTTTCATAAAAGTGGCCAAATATTTTGTATTTACTCTTACTCTTTTCATGCATTCAAATTATGTTTATACCTTTGCCTGTTATCTTATATATGCTAGCTAGCTAGCTAGCTAGCTAGCTAGCTAGCTAGCTAGATAGATAGATAGATAGATAGATAGATAGATAGATAGACAGACAGACAGACAGACAGACAGACAGACAGACAGACATAATGTGAATAAAATAGGAATCATACAGCGTCAGCTACATGAACTCTAAAGGACCCTCTCTATTCACATTATTATAAAGCTACATGAACTCTTAAGAGACCCTCTCTATTCACATTATTATAAGGGAGAAACGTGCTTGTTGGAGATTACATTAAAAGCAGCTAAACCCCATTAAGTGGTAATATAGGCCTAGCTGTCACGGAAGGACAGCCATATGGAAAACATTTGAGGGGCATCACTGTCAAAGACAAGGACATATATGTTACAAAGAGTTACTTAATCCAATAAATTTACCCAAGGACAGCAATAAATCTCCCATTAGCAACTACAGCACTTAAGGAAGATTGTCTAGCTAAAGATAATCTTATAAACTAGAAACTAATGGTTTAACAAGTGTATGTTAACCATATATGGAAAACTGGATGAGCTCACCGAATCCTTTGTCTCAGAAATGTATAAAAACAATTGTATCAGAGCTCTTTCCTTGTTCAAAGTTTCAAGTACAAATCTGGCTCTGAACCTTGCGCAATAAACTGACTCTGGCTGACCCAGGAATGTTGTTCAGTCTCAATTTTTCCACAACAGATATATAGATACATAGATGATAGATAGATAGATAGATAGATAGATAGATAGATAGATAGATAGATGATAGGTAGGTAGGTAGAGATAGATAGATATATAGATACATAGATGGTAGGTAGGTAGGTAGGTAGGTAGGTAGATAGATAGGTAGATAGATAGATAGATAGATAGATAGATAGATAGATAGATGATAGATAGATAGATAGATAGATAGATAGGTAGATAGATAGATAGATAGATAGATAGATAGATAGATAGATCGATAGATAGATCTGATGCCAAAGCAATCTGGCTGTGGCGCTAGCACAGTTTGTATTCCAACAGGTATTTCTGAGAAGCAGGATGAAAGGCTACAGATGAATTTAAATCTCCGGGATCAGATTAACTGCATCCTAGGATTTGGCATGGGTGTCAAAATCTGCAAGATGCGGCCAGGTAGTATCATTTTTGTACATGCTTGTGTTATTACACCTGTGCCCTCCATCTCACAGATTTCCTCCCTCCCCACCATCACATTTTCTCTTAGGAAAAAAAGAGTTTGCCAAACTTTATTGCAAAATCCTAAAAAAAATGGTCAGAGGAGGATGGCAAAGGTTTTTCATTTTTAAAAGGAAGATCTGGGAAATCGCAGATTAGCTGGTCTGACATCAAAATCTTAAAAAGTCATTAAGAGATTGATACATAAGAGTCTTGAGAATATTCTAACTATCAAGTTAGAATGGTTTATCTTGCAAAAGTAACTTATCTCATATTTCAGTGAAATAAGTAACCCCTAGTCTGGTTCATTGAGAGTTGTCACTAAACCAATGAGAAATAAATATACTCCATATGGCTACCTATAAGAGGTTGAAACTGATAGCTTTGATTTAGAGCACACATCATAAACCATACTTGGCCTAATCATGGATTTTTGAATAAATTGCTATTGGCTTGGTTCACACATGTTTTTATGGTTTATTGCAAAATATAAAACTAATCTCACCTGTCACTGAGAAATCTCTTATACATGTGTGAATATCTTCAAAATTCTTCAGAGTGTGAAATTTAGCAATTATGTAATTTATCTCACTATAATTCAGTCGGCACCCATGAGAAGCATGTTTGTGACTAGAACATGTTTAAAATTATTGTATTTCATTTGTTCACATTCCTGTTTGTGACTACTATACATTGTGCATGTCTATAGTGAAGTACCCTAATATTTTTTTTAAAAAATGCTTGTTTTTGTACTTGGCTTTATATTTATAAAAAGAATCATGTGTATTCCTGAGTAAGACAACATGATTTTATACCTGATACTGCAGCCACTACAAAATATTGTCAACAAATAACTTTTTCTTTTTCCTCCTCAGATGCCTTCATTGTTTAACAAGAAACATATCCAAATATGCTGCAGATATTAAGTCTTTGCCTCCCAACATAAAAGATAAATTGATTAAATCATTGAGTATCCAAGGATGGATAACAGATGCAAATATTAGCATGGTAAGATTCCATTTAGATTACGATCTTTGATACTTTTTCAGCATTGTGACTTAAAATAGAGGTTCACATATAAAGTGATATGCAGAAGATGCTAAACATGAGAGATAAATTGTGGCACTTTTTTTTTTTAAAAAAAAAGGTTTTTTTATTTTTTACACAAACAGACAAACATACAATGTATTACAATGTATTGACCGGTTCACAAATTTTAGCAATTTTTAGTCATTTCAACACAATTTATATATTCTCTTTTTGCCATAGTATTTATTGTCTCTATTTTTTTATAGACCAATATTACCCTTCATCCTAACCTCTAATCTTAACCAAATTCAATTTTTCCCTTCATCTCTTTATTAAACCCCTTAAATTTAAAATCTCACTTAATATAATTCCTAGTATTACAATCATTCATTTCTTATCAAAATAATAAACCAAAATGTTTTATACCAGGGGTGAAATGCTCCCGGTTTGGACCGGAGCGTCCGATCCGGTAGCGATGGCGGCAGGTGGTTTGGAGAACTGGTAGCAAAAATCCCTGTGCCCGCCCCCCCCAACCATGCCCAGCTGAGCTGCACGATCATCAGAGGCTTTTTTTTTACTTTTAAAAGCATTTTTTCTACAACCTCTTCCAATGAAAAAATGCTTGTAAAGGTAAAAAAAAGGCCTCTGATGATTGCGCGGCTCAGCTGGGATCGTCAGAGGCTTTTCAAAGCATTTTTTTCTGCAACCTCTTGGCCGAAGAGGTGGTAAAAAAGCTGCTTTGAAAAGTCTCTGATGATCCCGCTGAGTTGCCTGATCGGCAGAGAGGCATTTTTTAAAAAGCCTCTCTGACGATCCCAGCTGAGTTGCCTGATGTGCAGAGGCTTTTCAAAGCATTAGAAAAAATGCTTTGAAAAGTTTAAAAAAAAAAAGTTGGCCACGCCCACCCAGTCACATTACCCCACCACTACCAAGCCACGCCCACAGAACCAATAGTAACAAATTTTATATTTCACCCCTGTTTTATACCATACATTTCCTTAAATCTTATTCCAAATAATACAATCCAACATTTTAATAAAAAACAGTTAGTTATATAACAATCTTTTCTCTTTATATGATAATAATAAACCAAATTACTTTATACCAGGGGTCAGCAACCTGCGGCTCCGGAGCTGCATTTGGCTCTTTGGACCCTCTGCTGTGGCTCCCTGTCAGGTGATCCCACCACTGACTGGCCCCGCCCCTCACCCTCCCCTCCCAGTCACTCCTCGCCTGGCCTGAGAAGGTAAGGGCGATGGCGGGGGATGGAGAAGCGGCCAGGGCAGAGACAGAGAGACACAAAGAAGGGGGGGGGAGAGACATAGAGAAATACAGAGAGAGAGGGAGAATGGGTGGGAGAGGGAGGGAGAGAGGGTGGAGAGAGATACGTCAAAAGGATTTTGTGGCTCCTGGTGTTTTTTAACAACTGGTTCTCTGCCCTAATGACCGGCTTGGTAGCCGTTGCTGGGGGGAGGGGTCATGTGATTGGTGAAAGTGAGTGACATCGAGTTGGCCACACCCACCCAGGTTTTGTGGCTCCCGATGTTTTTTTTTCTGTGGGAAATGGGTCCAAATGGCTCTTTGAGTATTTAAGGTTGCAGACCCCTGCTTTATACCATATATTTCCTTGAATCTTATCTCTAATTTTCAATTACTTTGTCAAACATGTGTATTTATACCTCTTCAAACAACATCTTAATCATTTCTACTTTCACCACAATCTAATTAATTCATAATACAATATCATTTCACCTTTTTTCTTTTTTAATTAGGTTCCAAATATGCAGTTAAAAATATTTCAATTGATACAATTTCCCTAATTAAATTTATTCATATTTATTCATATTTCTAAAACTTATCATTATATAAACTCCAACAATTAAGAATATTCCAATTGTTATAATTTCTCTAATTTTAGGTAGAAATATTCCAACTATTACCATTTAATTTGTCAAATTTATTCATATTTCTAAAACTTATTTGAATTCATTCATACATCCATATAGTTTTCCATTATTTTATATTACTTAATTAGTATCGCAATCTCATCTTTTTTCTAACATTCATTACATCTATAAATCTTACTTCAATTCATATTTCAATTCTAAGTGTATATAACATATTCCTCTTTCATTTCTTTCTCCTTTTCTCCCTTTCTCCCTTTCTATTTCTATTTTTTTATTTTTCTTTCCCCTTCTTTTCTTTTGTGCTTTAAAATCCTGAACTCTCCTGTTTTGCCCTTTCCCATTATTTTCCACCTCTTTTCCCTTTTTCTTATTTTTTCCACTGTTAATCCCAGTGTAATCATTTTGTATTTTAAAATCATGAACTCTTCCATTTTGCCCTGTATTTCCTGTTTTTCCATCCCTTTTCCCTCTTTCTTATTTTTCCACTGTTAATCCCAGTGTAATCATTTAATTTTTTTATATTCTTTCTATTCCACCCTTTTTTCCCTCTTTGTCTCTTTCCACCCTTTCTATTTTTTCCATTGTTGATCCCAATGTAATCTTTAAAATTCTCCTTTTTATTGTTACTACCCACATAATCATTTAATTTTCCATAGTCAATTTCTTTGTTTTCTTTATTGTCAATCTCTCTTTCTTGCTTCTCATTCGTCATTTCCTTGTCAGCTTGAGTGTACTTAACACAATTTTTGAATCATCAGGTTTCGGTTTTCCATGCAACATTGTGATTATTTCCCTTACTTCCATTTTCAGTGATAGGTACATCATTTTCATCATTTCCTTAAGTTCCTGCGCCATTTTTTTTTTTTGAGTTAATATTATTCCAATTTAAAGTTGTGTTGTAATCCTCCTTTTTTAATCATCAAAGTCAATCCGCTTGCAGACAAACAAACCCTCCTCAGATAGTTATCACTATCAAAGTTCAAGGTTTTTCCCAAAGCAAAAATTCAGTGTTGCAATGATCTTATTTCTCCTGGAGATGTCTCTCTACAATCCACAATTCTAGTCAGCAACCTGAAAAAGTATCCATTTTGTTTGCAATCCACTTTAACAATCTTTACTAATTTTTTTTCCTCTTCTTTTTTTTACTTTTATATACACCAAATCAATTTAAAGTCCAGTCCAAATTACAAAGTCCGTTTTCCCCTCCTTTTTTTTTGGTACAAAACTTCTATTACAGGGCTTTAATTTTAAGTTTTTCTTTAGTTTTTCTCCAACATTCATAAAAGAAATCTGCTTATTTTCTTTCCGGTTCTCTACACAGTTATGGGGTTTTTCTTCTAATTTTAAAAAATCTCCAAATATTTTTATCCAAAAGTCAATTCGGGTTTTGTCACTTTAAATTTTGGCTTTAGCTTTCTTCCTTCCTTTCCCCCATGGCCATTAGCCGTTATTATTCTGCTGGGGCTTTTTTGACAGATTTAAAAATCTTTTCCTTTTTTTTTTTTTCCCTATGAGCTGGCAATCACTCACCCGGTGTTCATGCTCCGTTCAAATCACCGCTCCTGCTCAATACTTGGTCCAGTTGCCCCAGCTTCTTGACAGTCACAATGGCCGCCGCCCGGCTGCCGAGTCGGAGAGAGTTTCCTCTGACCTTCGAGGAAGGTCAGAGGAAACTCTTGCCTGTTCCTCTTGGTCTTCTGTGGTGTATCTCCTTCTTCTCCATCCTATGAGACGGTTCCAGTCCGAAGACCCTTCAGCAGCAGCTTGTCAGCCCGGGGTTTCACAGAGCTTGTCAGAGCCCACTATTTCCCGGACTGTCTTGCTTGTGACGCTTCTGATTGCATCCAAATTGTGGCACTCTTGAAGGGTTTGAATTGCTATTAATCTTACCCTTGGCCATACTTTAGGGTGAAGAAATAGATGTTATTGCTTGATATAAATGGAGTTGTTACAGAGCATGATTCTTGCTGGATGAAGAACATATTAGAAAAGATATATTAAAGAATAATAAATGTGATGAGAAAAAGCTCAAAAGAAATATTGAGGTGGCTGATAGGTGAGGCAAATTGTTCCAAATTGTTTACAGGATGTTACATACCCCAGAATGCTTAAACTGCAAGCAGTGCACTAAGTTCCAAAAGCCAAAGTGGGAGGCAGAAATATACTGTAGTTAAGTCATGGTCCAAAAGTTCAAACACGGATCATCAGCCAGTCTAGATTCTAAGGAATAGAATATCCATAGATAACAGGCTTAAGAGGCCCATTTTGTTTTGTTTTATTTACATTTTTAAAAAGTAAAATCTGATTGAAATACTTGTCATTTTTAGGTTCTTCACCCTGCAGTGGAGGCACTGGATCTTCGAGACTGTGATATTTCAGACTCTGCCTTGCAACAACTTTGTAACTGCAGGCATCTTAAAAAGATAAATGTAAATGTTTGGAAAAACAAAAGGCTGACCATAACTTCTGAAGGTATACTTTCTGCACAATGGTTATTTAAAAGAGCACTGGGAGATACAAGTGATGGCTGTTTGGGTTGTTATGTTCTGTTTTAATTTATATGCCTTACAGATTGTTTTAAGTAAGTAATCTAAGTAGCAAAGATAGGAACCGAAACTTTTTTAATGAAAGTTAGGAGATCCCATTTATGAGTGCTAAGTCATTTATGAGTGCTAGGCGCAGTGTATCCATACTGACCTATGTGAGATTCAAATCTCACAGAGAAACATCAAGCGCCTCATGAACAATAAAAAGAGCTTTTAATCATAACTTTTGCAAAAGGACCCCCTTTGAGCTCATATGTGGAGCAACAAAAGAGAGCAAATTATGCATGCGAATACAAAGATTTAAATACAGTTTCAACAAAGGAGAAAAGCAACCCATTGGCCAGTTCAGGTTATATAAAGTTTTGGCTTCATAACAGGTGGTTTCCTGGACTAGAAATCCCCTGATAATTTCTCCATCTTCATCATAACAATACTATCAATTTTAGCGTGACAGCTACATCCCTGCCAATGTTAGCCTGACCTGACCTGGAATGTTAATCAATTTATAGCTTTGTTTTCCCCTAAAACTTCCTTACACAACTTCTTATCTTAATGTCTTACAGATGATGTCTTGGGTTATACAATCTAAGGTCTCATACAGAGTTTAAATATGGTCGCACTCTTGCTTTTTACAGGAATAATGCTCATTTCTCTCACCTATATTTTAATACAACTTAATTATGCACTTGGAAAGCATAGCCCACATTTTTCCAATGAGATGTTTCCATTTTTCTTATTTTGTTATAAAAGGGCAGTCTGTACTGATAATAATATACAAATAAATATATTAAACCCTATTAGTATTTAAATCAGACTATCCATTCAGGAAATCTAAAAATAAAACTATAATAAACTAAGTAAGACTTATCAGTGAGAATGGCAACATATACTGTATTTTCCGGCGTATAAGACGACCCCCTACTTTTCCTGTTAAAATATAGGGTTTGGGCTATACTCGCTGTATAAGACTACCCCTCTTCCAACGCACACCAAATAAAAATTAAAAAACATCAGATTTGATTTCAATATGGTAATTTTAATTCAAGTGCTTATGACATGCAGGTACTTAGCAGGAAAACTGTCACTTATAAACATAAGGCTGTTTGTCATCAAACATGTAAACATAAAACAGTGCAATTGGATTAAACTTTTCCTAATTCACTCTAAAGCTGAAAGGAAGGATAAGACAATAAACCCATGGGAGCTGCCATGCTGTTTGTTTTCTAAGCTGTCAACCAAACTGGAACTGATGATAGGAGGAAGATAACAAACAATAGAGAGCAAGTGCCAGGCAAGTCCCTGGCAAGTCAGCAACGCCCATCATAACTGCAAACTATTTTTACAGGTTTTGCTGGCGTGACAGTTTCCCTTTAAAAGCCTTCAAAATCCTCCTGTTCATCATCTGATATCATAAGTACATCAATGACATCTTGTGATAATTTGTAAGGCAGTCATTGTATGGAACTAATTCCGTATCAGATGGTGTGGTCTCAGCTTCGGCTTCCTCTTCATCTTGCCACAAGTAGTCGTCCTCCATACCATCTAATGAATTTGATGTGCCACACTTCTTGAAAGACTTGATTACTGTTTCTGCATCAATATCATTCCAGGCTTTTATGACAAACTTGCGCAAAACATCCAACTGTGGAGCATGCATGTTTCCTCCTTTTGTGAATGACTTTTCGCCGCTAACCATCCACTCATTCCACTGTTCTTGAATGCGATCTTTAAATGGCTTGTTTAGGCACACATCCAGTGGCTGTACCAACGATGCCAATCCTGCAGGAATAACTGCCGCATTTGTGTTTATTCTTGTAAGCCTTTGCTTGGTGTTGGGAGTTAAATGAGCCCTGAACATATCCCACACCAGTAGACTACGTTTTTGAATAAGTCCACCTGGTCACCTGCTCCATACATTATCAAGCCATAGCTTTACCCCTTCTTCATCCATCCAGCCTTTTTCATTCACATGTACAAAACAACCAACAGGGAACTTGAGTTTCGGCATTGTTTTTCTTTTAAAAATAATCATTGGTCTCAGTTTGGAGCCATCAGTTGTGCATGCTAGTACCACTGTAAAACTGGACTTCTCATGTCCTGTTGTTTTAATTAAAATTGTTTTTTCACCTTTTGGATGGACAGTTTTATTTCCAATCATATCAAAATTCATTGGAGTTTCATCCATATTTCCGATACTACTTAACGCTAGCCATGTTTATTGCACTGTTGTATTACGTATCGATGGAAACTATTTACTTTGGCATCAAGATCTGCAGGTAATTTTTGTGCAATTTTCGTCTTTTGCCTCAGTATCATATTATGCCTTTCCAAGAATCTAGTACACCAGGATACAGTGGCCTTAAATCTGTTGCTGTGATCTGGGTTAGATTTGGCCCACTGAAGTGCAAACAAACGTATTTTATTTTGTGTCACTACATAACCATTTTGGCGATGCTCATTCACCATGTCTGCTACATGTTTTTCGAGTTCTGGCCAATGTGGGGTGCCCCTTCTTAATGCACACTTACCCCTTGGCATACTCTTTAATGCTTTTACATTTGCTTTCCAGTCCCGAACCATCTTTTCTGTTACTCCATATTGTCTTGCAGCAGCACAGTTATTATGTACCATGGCAAAGTTTACAACTTTAAGTTTAAAACTGGCTTCATATTTCTTTCTTCTTGCTGGTGGAGCCATGATGGGGTTTTGACTGTTAGCCATTTGTATACTGTACTGTATGTACTAGTGCTGTACTGTATGAACCTGTTCTATTTGGAGAACAAAGCAGGACGGCGTAACACAACTCTTTATTAACAACAAGCTAACTTTTAATAAGGCACACAATTGACAACAGGTGGCCGACTGACAGCTGCTTAAATTGCAGCCTGTCAGGCGGAGGAAAACCAATAGGAGAACTGTGTTTTTTCCCACAAAGAGCCTGTTCGCGTCTTAGCCAATTAGAGTAGGGCGGCAACAGTGACGACTGTGGGTAGGACGTAACCCTGAGGACTTAACAGAACCGGTACAGATACCTACGAGCCAGGCTGCCCATCTGTCAAGGTAACGGGCCACGTGTAGCGGCAAGAGGGCTATTTCGTACCAGGTTTTTTTCCTGTCACCCTGTCCTGTCACCCATGTCCTGTCACCCATGCAGCCTTGACGAGATCGGCACAGCTTCCCCTCAATGTTGTCGGCCCTCCCGTAGTGTCAGCGGTCAGCGCCGGCAACTCCGATTTGGGTTAGAAATCTAGCAATGACTAGAGATGGTAGTAGCCGCTCTTACTGCTTCCGTCAGTCTGTCAAGGTAGATATCATAGGCTTATACCCGGCGTATAAGACGACCCCCGACTTTTAAGAAGATTTTCCTGTGTTAAAAAGTCATCTTATACGCCGGAAAATACGGTAAATTTAATAAATAGATAAACAATCAGTACAATTTATTTAAAATATGTTTGTAATCACCTTAATACTCAGTCACAACAATCAACAATGATCTGTTGGCAAAGACAGATTTCAAGTTGTTAATACTTAATAGTCAAAAGAGTAACACTATAAGCATGCATTCTCAACCACGCTGTGACCCAAATCCTAAAAGAAACATTGTGATGATGCTCTGGCCTTTTGTGCTTGCATTGTGAAATCACACACAAGAATGTAAGGAGTTAAATCTTCATTAGAAGTATGTTTGTCCTTCTGTTACAAGATCAAGGTGTGTCAGGGGAAAAAACTGATTATGACCATAGTTGCACTTAATAACAATTGAACAGACAGCACACAAAAAGTCTCACTTTAAAATTCAGAGGTTTATTAGAATTTAGAGCATAATAAACATAAAGCACTTACATTAATCACATTGCGATGAGAGTCAATCAGACAAGCAGTCAAGGGGACGGCTTGAGACTGATTGAACACCTCCCATTCTTCACTCTTGTCTTATATACCTTAAATCCACAAAGGCACATGACTTTCAGGATTCTGCCACTTTGCCATAGCAACAGGGCAGTTGCTCATTTCTTCAGCCTAAATGTCACAACCTAACTATTTTTATATATGTGACCACAATAAGTTCCTCTTTTCCCATGATCTTAGCCTACCACATTTTGCCAGCTAAACAGCTATCCTGCTTGCAAAGCACATTTTCAACATACACAGCACAATTTTTACATACTCGGGCACAAGTCCATCACACAGGCACCACTGACTTTTCATAAATTAATCAGTGTTCTGTGTGCTGGGTCCACGACCCCCAATACCTTCACAAATACAATCATTCCTTGTTTATAATATATGATACAATATGTTAAACAAGTTTTAATATTCCATAAGTATTGCAGGTAATTTCATATTAATGCTGGACCTAGTGCAAGTTCCCTGAGATAACAGCAATCCAGGAAACTGGATCAGGGACAGCATCAGTAGTACCTAGGTATGGGGTCCCTTTTTGCAAACTTCCCACAGGTGAGGTGTTAAGATATTGAATGAAAGACTCAAAAGAAACATTTAAGCCATCAAATCCCCCTTTCCCCATCCTGCTCAGTGTAGCAGTCCAAATTAAATGCTAGTAATCCCAGACAAATATTTTCTAATTTCTGCTGAAGCAGATCCAGTGAAGATGATCTAGTGCAGTGGTTCTCAACCTTCCTAATACCGCAACCCTTTAATACAGTTCCTCATGTTGTGGTGACCCCCAACCAGGGGTGGGTTCTAAATTTTTTAAATAATGGTTCTGTGGGCGTGGCTTATTTTATGGGTGTGGCTTGGAGGTCATGTGACTGGGTGGGCACGGCTAGCTGGTCATGTGACCGGGTGGCCATGGCTATGTGTATAGGGACTACTCAGAGGGCTGAAAAAAGTCATTTCTGACAGGTCCTCGCACTTTTGACTGGTCCTCACACTTATGACCATCCTCACATTTATGCTCGTGCAGCATTCTTAACAACCATGTCACTCATTTCACAACTGCTTCTCTTCACCATGGTGATAAGATAGGGCAAAAAACGTAAAATGTGAGGACAGTCATAAATTCGAGGACTGGTCAAAAGTGCGAGGACCAGTCAAAAATAACTTTTTCAGCCCTCTGAGTAGTCCATGTGCACAAAAGGACTACCCAGAGGGCTGAAAAAAAGTGATTTCTGACAGGTCCTCGCACTTTTGACCTGTCTTCGTACTTATGACTGGTCATCATTTATGCCCATTGTAGCATTCTTAACAACCGTGTCACTCATTTCACAACTGCTTCTCTTCACCATGGTGATAAGATAGGGCAAAAAACGTAAAATGTGAGGGCAGTCGTAAGTTTGAGGACTAGTCAAAAGTGCGAGGACCAGTCAAAAATAACTTTTTCAGCCCTCGAGTAGTCCATATGCATAAAATAGAGAGGGATGAAGGAAGGGAAGGGAAATTAGAATAGGAGTGAGGATAAGAGGGAGGAAGAGAGGAGGAGGAGGAGGAGAAAGGAAGAGGAAGTAGGTAGGAGAAGAAGAGGGGGGGAAGAGAAAGTAAGAAGGAAAGAAAAGAGAGAGGTGGTAGGTCTGAGGAGAAAGATTGCTGTACAATAAAAAAGATGAAAGGGAAGAAAGGCAACCCCAAACAAATATAAAGATATTAAGATAAAGAATGAATTGTTAAACTTTAAAGAATAAAAGAGAACAAATATGAATAAATAGCAGTAATTAGAAACACACATACAAACATACAATGTATTTTCTTTGTTCAAAAGAAAAATTTGGCCGGTTCATAAATTTAAACAGTGTTTAGTCATTTCAATTAAATTTACAATTCCTATATTTCCTTTTTGCCATATTTATCCCTCATCTATTTTTTAAAAAAACCAATATTACCCTTCATCCTCATCTCTAATCTTAATCAAATTCAATTTTTCCCTTCTATTCTATATTATACCCCTTCCCATTGTCATCTATTTTTATATCCATCCTCACATTGGTTAATTATGTAATTATGTAATACAGTTGTTTAATACAAATTCAACATTTTAATATAAATCAATTAGTTATATAACTATCTTTTTTGTATATTAATCTATATGAACATGAATATTCCAATTATTTCCATGCAATCCAATTTCTTACAAATCAATTAATTATATTTACCAATAATAATAAATCAAATAATTTCCCCCATATATTCCTCCAAACCACAACTTAACCATTTCTGCTTTCAACACAATATACAATTAATAGTATCTCAATTATTACAATTCCCTAGTTAAATAGAGCTTTTTTTCTTTTGTGTTTTAAAATCTTGAACCTCCTCTTTTGCCCTAAATTTTCCATTGTTTGCAGTTTTGCACCTACCTTTTTTGGTGAGGAAAAAGAAAAAGAAATCTCTCTCTGCCTCATTTTGTCACGTTGCAGCAAAGACCCTGCTTTACTTTCAGTTTCGCTTTTTCAGCATAGCTAGGGGGGAAAAATTCTGCTCCAGCAATTTACCTCTTTGCAGCTAGCTAGCAACAGAGCCCTCCGCAAAACAGCTGAGAGTCGGGAGACTGATCAAATCAACTTATGGTAATTAACCTATGCTGAAGCTAAAAGGGGCTGTTTTTTCTATTTTTGCAGGCACTGGTCTACTCATTTGTTTTCTTTTAACACTGATCAGCTGTAGGGCGGCCCTTTGAAGCCCCGCAGCAAGAATTTAAAGAATTTTTTTTCCCTCTAGCCATCAGCTGGGACTAGGAGGCAGCAATAGATTGGGAGTGGGCGGGGTAAGCGACTGGCGACTCAACAGAGGCAGAGGTTGAGGGTGAGTGAAGGTGTGGGGGGGGCGCGAGAGAGGGCTTTGGCGACCCCTGGGAAATGGCCGTTCGACCCCCAAAGGGGTCGTGACCCCCAGGTTGAGAACCGCTGATCTAGTGCTTTTGGAACCCTGGAGTTCTGGGGAGCATGGTTTGAATAACACAGCTCTACAACAGGCTGGGAGTACTCTAGGATCTCTTTTAAAGTCTTTTCTAGTTATCTGCTTTATAATTCAGATGTAGCACCTGAGAAATGAATGGGAAATTTGAAAAACAAATAAAGATAATGTACACACATATGAATCATTGTGGATCCATTATCCTATGATGATAATTTTTTAAAAAGTATTGAAGATTGGTATGCTGATAATGAACAGATGGTCCAATCTTGGTTGAGAAAATTACTCTCTTAAGACACTTTCCAATTATTGTATTATCATAAAGTTCAGAAAAGGAAATAATTGATTTTCTTTAAAAATCAACAAAACAAAATCCTTTATGTACATTATGCAAACTAAAACTCAATGAAATCAAACTTTTATATTTAAATGTATTGTAATAGAATTCTATCTACAGGAGAAAAACCTGCCTTTCATCTCCAACAGGAGTTGCAGCACTGGCCTTATCATGCCCCTATCTGCGGGAAGCCTCCTTTAAGAGATGCAGCAACCTAACTGACAGTGGAATCCTTGCTCTTGCCCTCAACTGTCCCCTTTTACAAATAGTCAATATAGGTGGATGCTCCAACATCACAGACACATCCTTAAAAGCCCTTGGACAGAACTGTAGATCCCTGCACAGTGTTGATTTCTCATCAACTCAAGTAAGAGTGAAAAGCATTATTTCCGCAGTCTAGTATTTTTTAAAATTATATTATCATTTGTAGGAGTTTCCTCATTTTTCCAGTATTGTGCAAATACAATTCTTGCTGCTGTCAAAACATGCAATATTAAATATAAATTCCCTTTGTTGTAATTTTCTGGCTATATACCCAACAAAAATATTTCTGGCTTTAGAACCATATGTTGTTTTATCATTTTCTCTAACCATGTATGTATTTTTGTCCAGAATTTTTTTGCTTTTGAACATGTCCACCACATACAATAGTACGAACCTGGTATCTGGATGCATTTCCAACATTTGGCGGACATATCTTTAAATATCTTTGCTAGCCTTGCCAGTGGCAAATGCCACCTATAAAACATTACAATAGCATCTTGAAAAACATTGTAAGCAAAGAAGATAATTCATAAATAATTTCATAAGATCCTCTGGTATCAAAATTGGAATTCTAAAATCAAGAGGGATCAAATGGCTGTCTTAATAATTGGAGATACTAGACCAGTGATGGCTAACCTTTTTGCTGTCACGTGCCAAAAGCGAGGGGAGCGGGGGGGGGTTGTGGGTGCGTGTGCCCACATCCATAATTCAATGTGCCCTGCCCTCCCGTGCATGCGCACGTGACCTCCCCACACTTCCCACTGCTTTTGGCACACAATGGCACGGCGGGCACGGTAGGCCCGCTTTTCCCCCTCCCCAGGCTCCGGAGACTTTCTAGGAGCCTGGGGAAAGCAAAAACAGCTTTCCCCATCTCCCCGGAGACCTTCCAGAGGCCAGAAACAGCCAGTTTCCCGACTTCCGGTGGGACCGGAAGGCCTGAAAATCAATTGGCTGGTGCGCACATGCACGCTGGAGCTGAGCTAGGGCAACACTCGTGTGCCCACCAATACGGCTCCGTGTGCCACCTGTGGCACCCGTGCCATAGGTTCGCCATCATGGTACTAGACTGTTCTTTGTTCGGTTTTAATAGGCATTAGATTCTGGGTTCTCAATGTGATGTCCAAGAAAAGGAATGTGCTCCATTGACATTTCAGTTTAAGTCCGTGGAGGTTTAATGATAGGTATGATGCTGAATGTGCTTTAAACATGAGTAAAATCATGAAAGTAAAAAGCAGACAGCTAGTGGTGTGACCCTGGAAAAGAGACAAATAACAAAAACTAGATGGTTGTCTTTGTGTAGTGTGAAAGAAGGCAATATATAGGCACATTACATTTCACTGTTTATGGTAGTGAAATGTCTAAAGTAGGAAGAGAGCTCCATTTGTTTAGAAGAATGTAGGGATATTGTAATAAGGTCATCCCCTAACTATCAGAGACAGTTTAATGGTAAAGGTCATAGTATGATTTGTTTTATTTTCTTTATTGTTTCTATGTAACAAACCAAAGAGATATAATGTGTAGCTTTGTTCAATCCTCTGCATTGTTCCTTAGTAATCATTATAATAGACTCCATTTCAATTGTTTCCAAACACTTTGGTTTCTTATTAAAGTGGGCAGGTTTTTTTTAAAAAAAATTTATTGATTAAAAATATACAAACAAACATAAATACATTAAGACAACATATAAAACAAACAAACATCGATTCAGTCTTATGACTGACTCTTAAAGCTATCACATCGGTGGGTTATTTTTCTATTTTTCTTATCTTTCTCTATGCATATCTATATTTACATATTTACATATTTATGTATAGAACATTATAATCCGCTCTTTGTTTAATTCTTTACATTTCCTATTAGGTAGTCAAAGTTATTTTTATGTTCCTATCTTTTCCTCCAGCCAGCTATACCATCTTTGCCACACTAAATAGTAATCAGTATCATCTTTCTCTTGTAGTTCCTTTGTAAGCCTATCCATTTCTGCGCATTCTGTAATTTTTGCAATTATTTTGTTTTCTGTCGGTAATTGCTCAGATTTCCAATTTTGGGCAAAGAGTATGCATGCTGCTGTTAGGATATGAATAATTAAGTATTTTATTTCTTTGGTATATTGTGCTGTGATTATTCCCAGTAGAAAGATTTCCGGCCTCATTTCCAACTTCTGTTTTATAATTTCTTCAATCATTTTCTTAATTTCTTGCCAATATTGTTTTGCCTTTCGGCATGACCACCAGAGATGATAGTATGTCCCCTTTTGTGATTAAAGTGGGCAGTTTTTTATACAATATGTCTATGAGGCTCCTGGTCTAATATGACTGCTATTTAAAGCAGCATGTTGTTAAAAATCTCTGGGTGTTCAAATAGATGTGTCCTTTTGAAGTTAAAGTAGATCTGCTCATCAGACCTGTAAGTCTTTATAGTTAGATTGGACTAGGACATGGGCCACACCTGGCTTTGATATTGCATGCAATTATCCGCACTCCAAGATGGTAAGCAGAATGCAGGATAAAACTCACATTTGATTTTTGAATTCATACCTTAAGTTAATTAAAATTAATTATTCAATTACATGCAGCTAATATAATTGGTCCCCATGTATTTAATAAGTGCCGTCTGGCAAAACTGAGTGGAGACCATCTGTCCAGTCCCATCTGGGTTGCCAAAAAGTGTCCCAACTCAATACTGGGTCTATTGCTCAGTATGTCCTTTACCGAAATTGAATGCACTGAGGTGGGGATTGCAAAATAAGTTTTATGCTGCAGAAGAAAGCACACAGGAAGATCTCCCTCAAGCCTAAGAACATCCCCCCAAAACCACTGGTGGCTTTTTTGCAGCATTTTATCACAAGCTACAGCATGCTTAATGTCACAGGGTCACAAGTTGTTTTCCTGTTCTTTATGTCTAATGTTTTTACTTTATTAGTGTAAATGAAGCAAATGTATTTCCTGCTTGCAGATAGGTTAACCACAAAATTACCATAACTGTCATTTCAGCAGTACCATAGCATAGCTTCCACCCATGTACTTCCTGTTTAATAATATACTTCTTTTTTTCAGCAATATGTTTTTAGTTATAATATGTGCAAAGGTTTCCTGTTTATCCCTTATGCCTTGTCCCATAATTCACTGTGGATTACAATTTAGCAAGATAAAACTGAAACTGAATGTTTATTGATATTTGAGTCTTCTCTACCACATGTACCTCTTTCAATCTCTTTTCATATGGCTTAGTTTCCAGTCCTGTATTCATCTTTATTGTCTGTTGCTGAACTTTTGTTGCTCAAAAATGGACAAAGTGCCTCATTTGTGATCTGATCAAAGCAGATTAATGTGGAATAATAATTTCATATGATTTGGAAAATAAAATTATGCTGATTCAGCCTAAATTGCACAGATCTGCTTTACAGTCACATCATCTTGCTGTTCATTTTCTGTTTGCTATAAACCACAATTCCAAGATTTGTTTCTACAAGTATCATTAAGGCAGGTATCCTTCATCTCATACCAATGCATCCTATCTTTGTACTCTAAACTTCAGACTTCTTTAAATTTCAGCTTTTTTTCCAAGCTTTTACTTACTGGTGTAAAAGATAAAAACTTTGACTTTTCTTGCTAATTAAAGAACCATTATTCTGGCCTTGTTATTTACTGTACTTCTGTTTTTAATGCAAGACACTTTGAAAACATATATAAATAAACATCAATAGATTGTATATGGATTTCCATTATTGGAAGAGAAAAAATCATATTTTTGCTTCTGTTCGATAAAAGATCCTTTTTTCCATTTAGGTCACTGATGATGGTATAATAGCGCTTGTTAGTGGAATGTGTTCAAACAGTTTAAAGGTAACATTTGGATATGTTTAATTTAAGTTGCTATTAGTAAGTTACATAGGTAGAGTAGAGAAAATTGCCATACCACCACAAAGATATTTTTATCAACATTCAAGGGTACTTTTTAAATTGACAGCTTTTGGTGAACTCCACAGAGAAGTGTGCCAAAATTAATGTAGCTCATATCACTTTTCATACATAATGCTTATATATTACATAAGATAAAATCTTGTTTGTGTAGAATCTTAAAATGAGTATTATTGGCTACTAAAAACATAGTATGTTGTTTTTCACTAGTACTATTGGGCAGTAAATATAACTTAAAGTTGTTTTCCCATTTTTGTCTGTGGTTGCATGTTATTCACATATGATTTCCCGTGTGCCAGGGAATGCATAAGCAAGAATAGATTTATTAAAGGCTGAGCCAAAGAATTTGGCCAATATAAGTTTAAAACACATGAAAACTGTAATATTGTAACTGTAACTGTAATTCAGCCCCTTCAGTTTCTGTCTCTTGTTCTTCATTCTATGTTACCTCATTTTCTCCACCTTTCCTGAATGGGATATTGTGACATGTGGGATAAGGTGTTTAAAAGAGAATAGCACTCAGTTGGGACAGTGGAGAAAAAGATTCATACAGTTGCATGAGCTGCAGTCTACAAGATCTCTTTTGAAATACAAATGAACTACTGCAAGAGACTAAAACTTAAATAGAAACAAATCCCTACTACTGCAAAGCTATTTGTAAAATCAGTTTTCCCATGCTTCCAAAATTCATCCAGCCCAAAAGTATGTTGGAAAATCACTATTTTCCAACTATTTTCTGAATCTAAAATTAAGGTAGAGGTGAGATTTTTCTCTAACTCATATGCTGCTTTCTTCATGTCATGATATACTTAATGTATTACTGAAATACAGAAGAGAAGGAGACCTTTGTCACCTTTGTTTTTATTTTTGTTTTGGAAGTAATGAAGAGAGATATTACTAAGAAGAAATTGGTAAATTTCAATGTACTCTTGCATATGAAATTCAAATTATTCTAGAGCAATTTATCTCTTGAGAGATTAGGAACACCCATTGCTTTATGAAATTATTTGAAACATTAGTCTCTTCTATAATTTCTCTTCTAATACCCTTCTTATTGTTCCAACATATTTCGCAAAACAGATTTTATTTAGTTAATTAGTGATAGCTACTAATGGCATTATTCTTTATCCTTAATAGGAGATTCATATGGAACATTGTGTTAATTTGACGGATATAGCTGTGGAAGCTGTCCTCACATATTGCCCTATGATATACATTCTGTTGTTTCATGGATGCCCACTCGTAACAGGTGATTTGAAATCTTGAGTAGATTTTCCTAGATGTTCACTGAAAACCACATCAAGTGGCATCAAAATGACACTGCATGCATTATGATATCATGAGCTGCATAATATCATCACGTACATGACATAACGACTTTGAAAGAAAACATTTCTAATTTCTTTAAACAATATATTTAAAAATGGAAGTTAGTAAAGCAGGGCAAAGCATTAAATGCCAAATATCCTTTGTATTTTAGAACTACTATTAAACTATCTAAAAGCCAGAGTGAAGTTAAAACAAGAATCCTGTGATTGTAAAACTGGTTTCCAAGAATAGGAAAACCCTAGTTAATCTCTTTAAAATATTTAAAGATATTAACAGACTTATACTTAAAGATATTAATAAAGTCAGATTTGCTGAGCACTCAAAGGAAAATTTGTAAATAGCAACCCACTAGAAGGAATAAGGGAAAGTTAAAAAAGGCATCACACAAGCTAAGACTTAGTGTGTCTTTTGCATAAACTGTCTAATAATTATTTGGTGGTATGTTTAAATACCGCCATGAACAGATCAATAGAATTCTTTATTGGCCAAGTGTGATTGGACACACAAGGAATTTGTCTTTGGTGGATATGCTCTCAGTGTACATAAAAAGAAAAGATACATTTGTTAAGAATCATAAGGTACACCACTTATGAAGGGGATTTTCTGGATATATTGGTACTAATTCATTGGCAGGAGATATAATTATTATTTTACTTGAAAGTTAAAGCATGTTTTCATCATCTGAATTCCTGCTCTGAGGAACTCCTGCCATTAAGAGAGCCATAACATGCTTATAAAATATGCAGAGGATGAACACTTTGTAAAAGCCAGCAAAATATCCACTAAATATAATAAATCAAAATGTTGAATTGGATTTTGGTTATTTATACACTGGTCTTGTAGAAAAATAGCTTGAAGCCTATTTCTTCCCACTACTATTTGTTTAATCGTGTTCCCTGTCATAAACATTTCCTTAACCTTAAAAATAAAAACTAAATATAATGTACTTTATTTGCAGATCGTTCCCGAGAAGCACTGGAGCAGCTGGTTGGACCCAAAAAATTCAAGCAGGTTTCATGGACTGTTTATTGATTTTTGTTTGAAATCACAAGGCATTACTTCTTTCATTCCCCCCCCCCCCCGGATCATTTCTGAGTCTTCTGATTAATTTGTACGTTTGCTGTTGATACTGTAGTCTCAAACAGGAGAAGAGTAAACATGCTATTCGTGTTTGTTTTTCTCCAAGTTAGATTGTATCAGTGTTCTGCATTTTTTCTTCATGGAAGTTCATGAAAGATGGCTTTAGGGCTTTACTTATTTAAAAAAAAAAAAAGCATGACACTGTACCAATAAGGACCAATAGTAAATAAGGGAATGCAAAAAGCAGAGAGAACACCAGTAAGCTAATGGAGCAAATATCATGGAACCATCTACTTGTGCTGCCTGCTCTGCTGTCAATTACGTGGAGACCAGTTCTATTTCTAGGCATCCATTGTAACAAGAGCCATGATTTGTTTGTATCTGAATAAAACCTTCAAGTTGTACAGTGCATGATTTTCATTTAATTCTATTAATAACCAGTCATAAAATGTGTTTGTAGAACTCAATATTGTTATTTTCAAGGCAAAAAACTAATGTGGGGCTTGGCTGATACCGCAGAATGGGATGCCATATTCCCATCTCTAATTAAGTTTTTATTTATTTGATTTGTAACCCCTTCCTTCTTCTCAATCACCTATTAAAGGCAGCTTATAGTAACATGCACTGAAGTTTTATTTTTGAAAGCGTTTGCCAAAATAAACATGTTAGTGTGTAAGCCGATGCAAGACTCTTGATTACTTTTGTTACAGAAAACTAACATGAATACTTTTTGGAAAATATCCCACTAAGATATTATCATTGTCTTTAGTAGTAAGAAAAATATTGACCAGTATGGATTTTGACATTCTCTAGATAGATATAGTAATCTTCTACTTTTTCCCTTTATCATGCATTACTACTAATTATTGTTGAATTGGGATTTTGACATGCTTCCTAATCAAATAATGTAGCACGACTTTTAAGAATTCCCACCCAGCACTCTTTAGGGCAGTATGTGGAGTAAAGTGAGACGAAACATAGAAAATGCAACGTTTGATCAACCTTTGTGAATAGTTGTGTTGAAACAGAAAGCAGTCTTTGTGAACATATTCAGCAACTGCTTCTGTACAATAATTAGCTTAATAGAAGTCAAGCCAGAAAGATCCACTCGTTTGCAAACATGAGTAACAACAAAGTCATGCCAGAATGGATAAGATGATATTCCATTTCAGACCAGGATGTTACATCAAATATGTGCTAGAGTGGTTGACCAGACATGATAGATAAAAACCAACAATCGAAGATCAAACATTTATTCTCATAGAGGCGTGTATTATAGAATAGTATCAAAAGAAGACAATGTTCCGGAGATCAAAATATAGCAAACTGTCCCAAGGTTTCCCCCCCTTCTTAGATGGGTCATCCACTGACTACCCAGGACCAACAACTAGCTATCAGGTATAGTGCCTGAATTCAGGAGTTTCATTAGATATAAAACTGCTGTTGATAGGCCACTCTCTACAAATAAAATTTATTTTAATTCGCATAAGCAGTATTGTGTATATTTTTTCAATAAAGCATTTTCAACCACAGGCAAAGTTTTTCATACTGTTGTCTCTTACTGGCTGCAAATAAAGTGTTCTAAACACATTGGAATATACATAGTGATAGAGGCTAAAATTTCAATGTATGAGAACTGGAATTCAAGAGATTCAAAGTAACATCAACTGATTTAATACTTCCAAGACTTCTGAAAAATTAAGGCTGATAATTCCAGATAATAGTTTTGATTGAACCATTGTATTCTTCCGGTGATGATTTAGGGAGAGCATATTCACTAACTTTGTGCAACATTCTCTGAATTTGGTTGGTCACAAAATAGGGTCTGCCAGGATCCCCGATCAGCAGTTCAGTCTTATCATCCTGGATGCACTTCTTCAACCATTCAGAGAGGCTGTCTGCAAGTTCTTCACTGTAAAACATGTCCCCTATGACAATAAGGTCCCACTTGCCTATATCTGTACCAATCAGGTTCTCTGTTAAGACAGGGATGGGATCTATGTTGTTCAGTTCACAGTTAAGCACCATGGCAGCAGCTGCAACTGAGGTACCAAGAAAATAAAAGATCAATGTCAACATTATTTCTCTCAAAATCCCAAATTAACAATTAACTTTGTACAATTAAAACATTGGGTATAATGTTTTTTTCTTTTTCAACTGCTGTAGGAAGGGTACAGGAAAGAGCTGACAATTTTGACTTGACATTTTGATGTAACCTTGCAAATGTAAATTTTAGGTTACATTTCCTGGAGAAAATCTGATGCAAGGTAATGTTCTAGTTCCTAGTAAAAAATATGCTTGCCGCTTGCCTTCCCACTTCATTCTCATTAAATAAAATGCATTCTACATATAACACTGCTGTCTCTGATTATCATTTTTAAATGCAAGACTTCAAAATAAGACCAAATGATAGGTTTCCTATGGAGGACACCATAGTTCCATTGGCCTCAAGTATCTCCAGATGGAAGAATTAGGTATTTGAAAGCCTTCTTTATATCCGTGTTTTTCAAACTTGGTAACTTTAAGATGTGTGGGCTTCAATTTCCAGAATTCCCCAACCAGCTGGGAGCTGAAATCCTTAAAAACTGCCAAGGTTGAAAAATACTACTTCATTCCAGAACCTACCAGGTACAGACACCAGCATTTCTAGTACTATTTCCATATAAGAGTCAAAAAAATACATATTTGTTGAAGGAGATTTGGCGCTGCTCTCCTATTTTAAAGGCACGTATGACGTATAAAATTAAACCATCATATAGCCTGTTAGCTTGGTTTGAGATATGAATTCCATCATAACTCAGCATTGTCTCTTTTTTCTTTTTACCCACTTCCCATTGTGATTATAATTCTATTATGTGTGAGCTTGTTGAACAAACCATAGTTTAAGAATCCTGAGTTACCATTATGTGTATATCTATGTAGACCTTTGGATTTCAAAACATGCTTGACCCTGTAGGTTTACCCTAATGAACTTAGCTTGTCCTACATTTGGTAGAAAATAGCTTACCAGGGTCAATATCATTTGCAACAACTTGTGATGCTCCACTTAGTGTAGCTGCAATAGCTGTTGCTCCACAACCACTTCCTAGATCCAGAACTTTCTTCTTCTGGACCACTTTTGGATTATCAAGAAGGTATCTGAAAATGAAGAATAGTAAAAATTAAAAATCAACCTTGCAAAGTCTGTTACGGAATCAGCTCATTTCAAAACGCCTTAACTCAATTTGATCTGAAGTTTACATCTATCAGCAAAATGCTAAAAACTTCATCTTTTAATACCAAAGTGTTTCATCATCAACTAGGTTGAAATTGTATGAGAGTGACCAAGAGAAATTATGGTTGTTACAAATTTTTATTTTTACAAACCACACGTCAAGCTGAACTTCAAGAGAGTGAGCTTTTCATCCTTTGGATATCATTGAAAATTCAGGAGCTTGATTAATGCTAAGGGACCATGAAGGCCACCTCTGGAATTCATAAGTAGAAGGATGTCTTAATATATTATAAAGATAGTGTATTAAGCCATATTTATTTTAATTATTACTTAATAAATAAATGATTTGCTTCCATGAATTGTGCTACCTCAGAAACTATGCCACAAAAGCTAGGCTTACAGCCAATAAAAGCTTGAGCTGTATCAACACAACTAATTAACATAACAGGAAATACTACAGTGGTCATCTCAATATACCCAGGATACTGGGTGTCGTTCTGGTCAATATAATACAAGAAAGACCCTGAGGAATTGGAAAGAGTAAAGACTAACAAAGATGATGAGGGGCTAAAAAACTGAATCATGTGAAAAACAGTTAAAGGAACTAAAATACATTTAATCTAAAAAAAAGGATGGCCACGACAAGAAACAATAGTCAACTTCCGTTGTTTAAATGTCACAGAGAAAAGGGTGTGGATTTATTTTGTATAATACCCAAGAGTGGAGTAGATTTCATGGCTGAAACACAAATTGAAAGGCAACAATTTCCTAAGCTTGTGAAGCTACTTAAGCCTGCTTCCTAGAGGAATGGGTGCTTCCATGGTGGAAGTTTTCAAACTAAGGTTGGACAGCAATTTCACTGAGATGGTCTCGGTACCTCTATCCTGGGTAGGAGGTGCAAGGTCACCTCTTTTCCAAATTCATGATTCTCCGAGATTTCTCAAAACGAAAACTATTGTGGTGTGGTGCTTTACCTACAATGATCACCAGGGGCAGTATTAACTGGGTTCAGCTTGTAAATCCTAAATAGGACAAAACTGGTCACATACTGCCATCTGGTGGTCAATATAAGTAAAAGCAAAGACCAGGTGTAGAATACATATGTAAAAATAGAGAAATTGTAAAAAAAAGAAAACCCTGTAAAAGGAGTTGTGGGAAACGAAAATATAGCCTATTGATCTATTAGATTGAATAAGGCCTATGTGGATGATAGCAGGCCCCAGGATAGAGACATGAACCAAAGTCTTCAGCTAGGATGATTTCATAATGTAAAAGAACTATTTGTAATTTTGCTACCATAAGCAGCTGCAATTTGTGCAATACGATTTTGCAAAATAGGCGGTTTCATGAGTACATTTGGAACTAGAAGGATGAAACAGTAAGAAATAAGGAATTGAAAGTAACAGATGGATGACATATTGTTGGGGACAATATGCTGACTCTGTAAACCGCTTAGAGAGGGCTGTAAAGCACTGTGAAGCGGTATACAAGTTTAAATGCTATTGCTATTTATTAGATTGATGTCCTGCACAGGAACTGCTCAATCATTCTACCTTGTCTTCACAGTAACAACCCTGTGCAATAGGTTGGGCTCAGAAAGAGCAATGAGCCCAAGGATGCCAACTCAGCCTTCTGGCTTCCGGTTGAACACCTTAACCAGCAGACTACACAGGACTTTCTTTGTTTAGAAAAACATCGTACTTTCAAGTAACACAAAAGCATGAAGCTAGCTAGCACCAATTAAAGTTTCCTAATGGTTCTGGGAATAGGGGGGGAAAAAAACCCAATTATGGCATTCATAAAAGGGGTAGAAATTTAGAACCTCAGGACTGAAAAATTGAAAGAAAGAATTTGACAAACTCAACCCAAGATCTTGTGACGTGACATGAGATCATAAAAATCTTTCAAGACTTTACTTTCTTTATTTGCTTCTATTTCATTCCGAGATTTGTAGGCACCAATTCTGAGATTGTCATTCTCACAATTATTGAAACAGGCATTAAGCCTAGTATGGATGTAGCTATATTGTCTCTGAAGACTTATACTTCCAAATCCACTCCTTAACCTGGATGTATGACTTCAGAAGGGCTCAACTGCTCCAGAAGATATCATAATCCAGCACAATGATTTATGCAATAAATTCAATTTATTCAAACAATGTAACAGGTGGCCTACGAAAAGTACCTGGAAACTTCAACAGTCCACAATGCTGTAGCTAATTTAATAACTAGGGGTAATGATAGATAGCATATAGTTTTTTTGTTAATCTAATAACACTGGCAACCAGTCCGTATTTGGGACACCATTCCAGTATTGTTTATGACATTTAGGCTGGGTTTGCATTGACTTCATCTGTATCTTAGTGTGGTATGCAAATCCAACAGGTAGTGCGTTTATTGCTCAGTTCACCTCTCTCAATTTGGATATCTTCCCAATGGGTGGACTTCAACTCACAGAATTCTCCACTCAACATGATCAGTATTGAGAACTGTTTCAGATGACAAACTGAAGGGCAATTTATTTGAAAAAACTCATTCAGGGTATCAGTAGAACTGAGAAACAAAGTCCTATGTGACTTGGGATAAGGAACCTGTTATATATTAATATGCTTCAGGCTTTATAATAATAATGTTAGGGGAAACCAGGTGAGTTGTTTTTACTATGCTTTAGGTAAAAGTAAAGGTTCCCCTCGCACATATGTGCTAGTCATTCCCAACTCTAGGGGCGGTGCTCGTCTCTGTTTCCAATCTGAAGAGCCAGCACTGTCCAAAGACATCTCCGTGGTCATGTGGCATGACTAAAGGCCAGAGGCGCATGGAACTCTGTTACCTTCCCACCAAAGGTGGTCCCTATTTTTCTACTTGCATTTTTTACGTGCTTTCGAACTGCTAGGTTGGCAGAAGTTGGGATAAGTAATGGGAGCTCACCCTGATATGCGGAACTAGGGATTCGAACCACTGAACTACCGACCTTTCGATTGATAAGCTCAGAGTTTTAGCCACCGAGTCCCTAGACTATGCTTTAGCATGCTATTATAGCATCATTTAGCCAGCTTCCTATTAAACTGATTGCACAGAAGGTAAATCTCAGTCTTCTGGTGTTTTATACCTGGATAATCCTTGGCCTCCTGGCCAGTACATTGCCCAGTAGGGCTCCCCATAGGGCCACAAAGCAGCTTTGTCATGCCAAAACCTGCAATTAGGGGTTAGAAGACGTAATCTTATTTCTGGGGTCAGGTTCCCACTGTCAATGATCTCAGTATTCTGCTCTAGAAACATTCTCAGCTCAGGATCTATATGTCTTCCTGAAGTTCCTCCACGGTAGCACCTCCAAACCAAACAGCCTCTCTGTTTCTGCTTCAAGTCTTTTCTAAGGCTGGTCCTACCACAAAAGTGTAGCAATCTTCTCCAGCCGAGGAAAACCATGTGTCCTTTTCCCTCTAGGCCAGTGTCCTCCAACTTCAATATAGATCTTTAAAAATATTTGCCTGGAGCATGTCAAGATTCTCTAATGTCAGTTTGGGAATGAAGACCTCTCACAATTCTGGCTTTCAGAAAGAATGGGCAATGTTCCTGAAAACAGACGAACAGATTTTTTTTTTTTTTTTGGTTCCTGAAAAGAAAAGAACAGAAGTTTACTACACAGATTGTCATAGGTTAATTACTTAAATGAGAACTAAGGCTGTGCTTTTCTGTGCTTTTGTATATAAATGATATTATTCTTGTTCCTGATTTATATTGTTATTACTTATTTAACTAGCCCTCTCTGAATTGTTTTAAAAACATGGATGGAGGTTTTTGTTAAGGCCACTAGTACACCCTGTTTAGTATTCTCTGAGTGGCGGAATATTTTTGAACTTTGAATCTCTTCCTTGCAAAACCTATATTCCCATCACTGACTTTGTTATGAATAGCGTAAATTAAATTTTGGTCTCACGTCTTCCTGATTATTACAGATAGAAACGTTTGCCTAGTTTTCCACCAGCAGGTTCTCTTTCCATTAGAAATCCACTACAGATAATTATGTCTTTCAGTGGTGGGTTTCAAATTTTTTTACTACCGGTTCTGTGGGTGTGGCTTGGTGGGCGTGACAGGGGAAGGATACTGTAAAATCTCCATTCCCTCCCCAATTCAGGGGAAGGTTACTGCAAAATCCCCATTTCCTCCCGATCAGCTGGAACTCAGGAGGCAGAGAATAGATGGGGGCGGGGCCAGCCAGAATCTTTACTACCGGTTCTCCAAACTACTCAAAATTTCCGCTACCGGTTCTCCAGAACTGGTCCGAACCTGCTGAAACCCACCTCTGATGTCTTTGTTGTACTTATGTAACTTGCAAATGCTTTATTTGGGTCAGAATCAAGAATTGGGAGTGTAGTTCAAAGACCACATGAAAATCTCATTGAAAGGGAGCATGGAGAAAGTAAACATCAAATAAAAAATGTGCATTTCCAGAACACAAAAAAGGCGGCTTTTTTTTTTTTTTAAATCCCATTCAATTCATTTTTAGTTCTTTACCTCCACCTCCTCCCTTACGGGTTTCTTATTTTAGAACATAAAAATCTTCTTCCAAACAACCTTGATGCTTAACAGCTACATGGACATATTCATGTCATTCTCTTGGCAGCAAAATGGAATTCTAAGGGTCCCCCCCGGCCAACATCCTAGTTTAATTTATAACTTCGAGATTTCCTGATGATCCAAGAACTGGAAGAGATCAACTAGATGCAGTGATGCTGGTTTTACCTGGAGAGGAGAAATTACATGTATCTCTTTCTTTTCCTTTAGGTGCATAGTCTGTATCAGGGATCTCCAACCTTGGCAACTTTACAACTTGTGGACTTCAACTCCAGTGGTGAAATGTAAAATTTGTTACTACCGGTTCTGTGGGCGTGGCTTGGTGGGGGGGGGGGTGTAATGTGACTGAGTGGGCATGGCCAACTTTTTTTTTTTTTTACTTTTAAAACCATTTTTTCTACCTCTTCGGCTGAAGCGGTTGTAAAAAAATGCTTTTAAAAGCCTCTGACGATCAGGCAACTCAGCTGGGTTTGTCAGAGGCTTTTAAAAGCATTTTTTCTACAGAGGTTGTAGAAAAAATACTTTTAAAAGTCTCTGACGATCCCAGCTGAGCCGTGTGATCATCAGAGGCTTTTTTTTTTACTTTTAAAAGCATTTTTTCAGCCAAAGAGGTTGTAGAAAAAATGCTTTAAAAAAAAAGCCTCTGATGATTGTGCGGCTCAGCTGGGCATCGGGGGGCGGGCAAGGATTTTTACTACCGGTTCTCCGAACCATCCACCTCCCTCGCTACCGGATCGGGCGAACCATCCGCCTCCCTCGCTACCGGATCGGGTGATCCGGTCCAAACCAGGAGGATTTCACCCTGAACTCCCAGAATTCCTCAGCAGCGAATTCTGGGAGTTGAAGTCCACAAGTCATAAAGTTGCCAAGATTGGAGACCTCTAGTCTATAAAACACTATATTCCCGTTTAATTAATTAAATATTCACCTTTACTAACTAAGGTGTATTTGAATACTAACATATTCAAATACACCTTCCTTCTCCGATTTCCCCCAAAACAACAACTCTGTGAGGTAATTTGGGCTTTAGAGAATGGCTCCAAGTCACCCAGGTGACTTTCACGGCTGAGGAGGAACTTGAACTCACAGTCTCCCTGTGCCTGGTGCCTTAACCACTAGACCAAACTGGCTGGTAATGATTGAAAATGTAGTATTAAGCAAGTATTTATTTTAGACATGAGTTAAATCCTTTCTGTTCTATTCTGTTATTCTTGTTAACTCTATTTTATCCTGTCCGTGGAATGAAACAAGGTATAGAATGGGGTGATCTTTCTCACCTTCAATACACAAAATTAAAAAAAAAAAATTCCTTAACCTTGGGTGGTCTTATCTTCGGCAAGAGGAGGTAAAGCACTCCAAGGACAAGATCAGATAAACTTACCCTCCTTTCCTTTGGCAAAAATCAAGTGAGACAAAGTTATCTGTGTGATCCAGATGTGATTAATTATGGAGTCTACATACACTGGTTGGAAACCTCCATGAGGTGGAACATCATTACACATATAATTGGAAATATGAGAGGGTTTGCTCCCCAACGTATCTTTGGGATTTTCTGACTGGCAGAAAGGACATAAAGTTTTTTTTTTTTTAATTTTTATCCTATTCATTAGTGCACTGTTTCTTAACCTTGGCAACTTGAAGCAGTGTGGACTTCAATTCCCAGAATTCCCCAGCCAGCAAGAAGAGGATGACTAGCAGCAAAGTGGCTGGACTCGAGGACAGTGACACCATTGGGAAACTATTATGAATAGATCTTCATGGAGAAAATCTATCTATGTCAAAGGTGTCAAACTGGCAGCCCGCAGTCCAGATGCATCACGTGCTGGCCACGACCATGCCGTTTAGTGAAGGGGGGGAAAGTCACAATATGTCACATGACACCACTATGATGACACGAGTTTGACACCCCTGATCTATGTTCTTGGTAGGCATCAAAAATGATGTCATTTCCTGAGAACAACTGATGGAGTTTTGCAAAAGCTTTATTCTGCACAGAAGGAAGGACCTCAGAGGGATCATTCCCATTAGGCCTGTGCAAAGGCCACTCCCAACAGTACAGGTAGTCCTCAACTTACGACCACAATTGAGTCAAAAATGTATGCTGTTAAGTGAATTTGTCCCATTTTACGACTTTTCTTGCCACATTTGTTAAGTGGATCAGTGCTGTTGTTAAATTAGTAACATGGTGGTTAAGTGAATCTGGGTTCTCCATTGACTTAGCTTGTCAGAAGGTCGCAAAATGACTCCTGAACACTGCAACCATCATAAATAGGAGTCAGTTGTCAAGCACCTGAATGTAAATCACGTGACCATGGGGATTACTGCAACGGTCATAAATGTGAAAAGTCACTATTTTCAGTGCTGTTGTAACTTTGAACGGTCACTAAATGAAGTGTTATAAATCAAGGACTACCTATAGTTTTTATAGGTACTTCTCCATAAGCTCACCTTAAGCCAGCTCCTCTCAGATCATCTTATGATCTTATCAAGGTTTATTAATACTGCTTACCTTGCATTTGCAATGTCTAGCAATCATCAGCACATTTGCCCCTCATTTCCAGTAACAAGTAACACAGCAGTCCCTTCCCCTTTAAATTCATCTTATAGTATTACTATATATAGTAATATATATAGTAATATATAGTAATATATTACTATATTACTATATATAGCATTACTTTTATGTATTCAGCAAAAATATTCATATTTTAGCACAATCATCTAGTTCAAAATGTATTTTAAGCACAGATTGAGGATCATGATAGCACTGGAGACATTACCTAATTTGGGTAATGAAACATCTGCAAGAAAATAAGCAAGCTCAGAGAGCACCAAGAACCCCTCATGTCAACCCTGAGCTACGAATATTCTCCTTCATTAACTCCCCAGATTTCCTGTTCACGCCTTGTCCCATGTCTACATTTGGGGTTCTGTTTCAGCAAGCATTTGCTAGGGATTTAGCTAGCGAAATTGTTTCTATTCCTCTCTATGCATGAACAATTAGCTAACTTCAATGCCTTAATTATGTACCCAGATAAAGGCCAAAGAAGCCAAAGTTAGAAGAGGGTCCTAGAATACAGAGATTTCTGACCTTTCCTTCAGATCTTCCATCAATAAGCATTCCTCACAGTGATGGATGTACAAGCACACAAGCCGAACTCTCTTCTACATTCATGGTTTCCATTCCATTCCATAACTCACCAGACACAGCCACCATCAGAAGGAAGCAGGGCTAAATTATACATTGTACCCAGCTGTAAATATGAATTAGCTTCTCAAGCTTCTGTACAAGACTTTTGTTTTGTTGGGTTGAAGCAGCTGTCTCTCAGAAAAGACCAGAATGAGGACAAAACAAGAGATTAACCCATTATGTCCCATTTATATTGAATTCAAATGCTGTTTTTCTGTATTCCGTTATAAACGCTTAAGAGTTGTTTATAGACCATCCTGTGGATTAAATTCACATGTAAAATGCAAAGCGTCAGTACATTAGGCCAATAATTTCTAACCCCTTCCTGGTCACCTCCAGCTTCCTTTCTCTTGTCAAAAGAGGGAAAATATTTGACGAAAAAAATGTGACTTTAAAAAAAATAAAGATGTATAAAACTATGGATATAATATGGAAAATTTGTAGTAAGCTAATGTAAGTAGAAATTTAGTTGAAGTTTTCTTTTCTTTTTCCTTTTTTTTTGTTAGATTACTGTAATTACTGTTAACATAGTACAGTTATAGTTATTAGCTTGTATGTTAAGATTTACCATTGATTTCTCTCTGGCTCTGCTTTATTTGCATTGTTATCCTGACATGGCACTGTCTTTTCAATAAAATAATATAGATAGATAGATAGATAGATAGATAGATAGATAGATAGATAGATATAGTGAATTTGAAGACTAAGGGGGGCAAAAATCAGCCTGGAGCCGCAGTGAATACAAATGTGGTTTCTTCCTTTATGCTTTATAAATATATTCAAATGATTTGGGGAAAAGGGGGAGAGGGAGGTTACACTAACAATGCGACACCTCCCACACACACACATACCCAAACAATCCCAATTCTCGTTAATTCGGAGTTATAAAATATGAAGGTAAAATTGACCTGGCTTGATTCTGAGATTGGTTAAACGTTGCAGGTATCGGAAAAGATCCCGGCTTCTCCCTCGTTTTGTGAATCAGATCTGGTATTTCTCGACCCCAGGAACTTTAAGACGTGTGGACTTCAACTCCCAGAATTCCCCAGCCAGCATATTCGTTCATTTGGCTGGCTAGGGAACTTTGGGAGTTGAAGTCCTAATTTCTTTAAACTTGGCTGGTGACGAAGGCAAATCGAAGGCCGGTTCTCCATTTAAGGAGCCGCCTTCCGCGGACATGCCGACAAAGCGATTGGAAGCCCCGCCGCTGCAATCCCGACGGCGCCTTGCTTTTCAAAAGGCCTCGGGTTCAATTGGGAACTGGAAGGATTAGGTTTGTAATCCTATTAGCTGCTTTTCGCCCTGTGGTCTAGATTCGACCCATGGGCAAATGTGGCTCTTTTATAACCTGTGGACTTCAACTCCCAGAATTCCTGAGACAGCCAAATGAACGAACAT